ATCTGTGGCTCAATTGACATCATTAGGCCACTATGTCTTATTCGGTCCCCAAGATATGAAGGTGTATCTCGTGACCTCAAAATCTCAGAAACACCGACAATGGAGGGGCGACAATTAGAGTCAATCTACGTGATGTCAGCAGAGTTTGCATATGTAGACAAGACAAGAAAAAATGAGACAGTAGATCTTTGGCACATACGGTTAGGTCATGTTAGCTATTCCAAGCTAAGTGTGATGGTGAAGAAGTCGATGCTTAAGGGGTTTCCTCAACTAGACATGAGAACAGACACAGTCTGCGCGGGATGCCAGTATGGTAAAGCACACCAATTACCATACGAGGAATCGAAGTTTAAAGTAAAAGAACCGTTAGAGTTAGTTCACTCTGATGTATTCGGACCGGTTAAGCAACAGTCAATTGGCGGTGTGCAGTACATGGTGACATTCATTGATGACTTCTCAAGGTATGTGTGGGTTTTCTTTATGAAAGAAAAATCTGACATATTCTCAAAGTTTAAAGAGTTTAGAGAGTCAGCTGAAGGAGAAGTGGGAAAAAAGATCCGTTGCTTGCGCACAGACAACGGGGGAGAACATAGCTCAAGCGAGTTCTCTCAATACCTAAGGGAATGCCGAATACGTCATCAGTACACTTGTGCCAACACACCGCAACAAAATGGTGTAGTTGAGAGAAAGAACTGGCATCTTGCAGAAATTTGTCGAAGTATGCTACATGCAAAGAACATACCGGGAAGGTTTTGGGCTGAAGCAATGAGGACTGCAGCCTTTGTGATCAACAGACTTCCTCAACCAAGGTTAGGATTTGTTTCACCCTTTGAGAAACTATGGAACATGAAACCTACAGTTAGCTACTTTTGAGTATTTGGTTGTGTATGCTATGTATTTGTTCTTGATCATTTACGAAAAATTCAACAAGAAAGCTATTAGATGTATCTTTGTGGGATACAATAGCCAGAGAAAGGGGTGGAAATGTTGCGATCCAATGAGTGGAAGATGCTATACGTCACGAGATGTGGTGTTCGATGAAACATCTTCTTGGTGGTCCTCAGAGAAGGAGGTGTTGCGAAACTCGAGAGAATTTGGAGACAAGCTGCAACAAAAGATGGGGGAGCATACTGTTCAACTCCAACCAAGTTCAGATGAATCAGGAGATCTAAACAGCGAAGATGTTGAGCAAAGAGTGACTCAGAATCCTTGGCAAACTGGCGTGTATCAACAACCAAACGAAGAAGGTGGGCCTAGTGAAACAGAAGAATCAACTCCACAATCTCAACTTCGAAGGTCAACAAGAACACGAAGGCCAAATCCCAAATACGCCAATGCAGCCATAGTTGAAGAAGTAACTATAATAGAGCCTGAGACGTTCGAAGAAGCATCGCAGAGTTCTGAGTGGATAATAGCCAGGAAAGAAGAGATCGATGCACTTGAGCAAAATCAAACTTGAGATCTGGTGCCAAAGCCAAGAGATGTGAAACCTATATCCTGTAAGTGGGTTTACAAGATAAAGCGTCGTCCAGATGGGTCCATCGAGAGGTACAAGGCACGATTGGTAGCTCGTGATTTCTCTCAACAGTATGAACTAGACGATGATGAAACGTTTAGTCTAGTGGCACAAATTACCACTATTCGAGTCCTACTTGCACTTGTAGTCAACAAAGACTGAAATTTGTGGCAGATGGATGTGAAGAATACTTTTCTTTATGGAGAGCTGGATCGGGAGATCTACATGATCCAACCAATGGGTTTTCAGAGCCAAGATCATCCTGAATATGTGTGTAAGCTGCGAAAAGCACTCTACGGATTGAAACAAGCACCCAGGGCGTGGTATGGTAAGATTGCTGAATTTCTAACGCAAAGTGGTTATTCAGTAACATCTGTAGATTCTAGCTTGTTTGTCAAAGCCAATGAAGGTAAGCTAGCTATCGTGCTAGTGTACGTGGCTGACGTAATCCTAACCGGTAATGATGAGGCAGAAATTCTTCAGACAAAGGAGAATTTATCAGTTCGTTTCCAAATGAAGGAACTTGGACAGCTGAAGCACTTTCTTGGTCTAGAGGTTGATCGCACACAAGAAGGAATATTTCTCTGTCAAGAGAAATATGCCAAAGATTTGTTGAAGAGGTTCGGAATGCTCGAATGCAAGCCAATTTTGACACCGATGGAGCCAAAATGCCAAAATGTGTGCACATGAAGGAAAAAATTTGGAAGATGCGACGATGTATCGACAATTGGTAGGTAGCCTGATCTACTTAACCTTGACACGACCTGACATTTCTTATGTAGTTGGTGTGATGAATCGGTACATGCAAAATCCAAAGAAACCTCATTTGGAAGCAGTTCGACGAATACTAAGATATGTGAAGAGTACAATTGACTATAGTCTTTTGTACAAGAAAGGTGAAGACTGCAAGTTAGTTGGTTACTGTGATGCTGAATATGCAGGAGATCATGATACTAGGAGATCAACAACTGGGTATGTGTTTAAGCTTGGTTTCGGAACAATTTCTTGATGTAGTAAGAAACAACCGACGGTATCATTGTCAACCACTGAAGCTGAGTATCAAGCTGCAGCAATGGCAGCTCAAGAGAGTACATGGTTGATACAGCAAATGAATAATCTACATCAACCAGTAGATTATGCAGTTCCGTTGCACTGTGACAATCAGTCGGCAATTTGTTTGGCGGAGAATCTGGTCTTTCATGCAAGAACTAAGCATGTTGAAGTACACTATCTCTTTATCAGAGAAAAGGTTCTGCAAGAAGAAATTGAGATGAGGCAAATCAAGACAAATGATCAAGTTGCAGACTTGTTCATAAGAGGCTTGAGCACTGACAAGTTCGAAATGTTTCGCTATTAGCTTGGCACAGTGCAAATAGTGAGAGCTGGTGTTGAGGGGCAGTGTTGAAGATCAACCCCAGCCCATTACAAACCCCAACCTACCTTTTAGTCCAAGGAAAATAAAAGCCCAATCCATATATCTAAACCCAAAACAATGCTTCTCAACAAATGTGGAAGAAAGATATTTTAAGAGAAAATTGTAGAAGGATGTAGAAAGGAGATTTTTTAGGAGAAATATGTAGAATGTGGTAATAATGTATAGCTAGGATTATTTCTCAATTTAATATTTGTACGGTGTAGATTGCATGGTGAGGACTATAAATACCCTCTCTTGCATTTGGGTTAGGTATCCTTCAAAAATAAGTCTTTGTATTCTTAGTTTGAGTGTTGTGTCTTGAGTGTAAGTTGTGAGCTTCCTATTGAGTGTCTATTTCTTTTCAAATTGGGAGTGGTCTTTGGAAAGTGTTGTAGTGTCTTTTATTATGGGTATAATACGAGTAATTTGTTTACTTGTTTGAGTCCAATATTAGTAAGTTTAGAGTTGTGTACTCTAAATTTTACTCAACATATAATAGTGTTCAAGCTCAACTCATTGATTAAATGAACTCTAAAATTGTACTTGATCTTGATTCATTTACAAAACGTACAAAGTTGAATGATGTAAATCGACCTCAAACTTTTGATGAACACCTTAATTCATTCGATAGTGGCAAAGTGCTGTGGTAGAGGAGTTATTGTTTCGATATCTCTATTCAAATTTTTGATTATTGATCTTTTAATTAACTTGTGACCGCTGATTGTAAAAATAATAAAACAAAGTAAAATAATAAAATAAGAAAGACCCGCGTCGTATTTTATTTGATTAAAAAAAATAAGATAAAAAATTACTTTTTGGTAGTGGAATCAAATCCTATTTCGTTTTGAAGTAATATTTTTTACAAACATGACCGTAAATTCAAGGTTTGGCTAAAAAAATTCGGTATCGTATCTCCTATTATTATTTTTTTAAGTATTTATATCAACTTTTGCGTGAAATTTATTAGTTTTCGGGTTGCACTGATTTTTTTGGTTCGCTTACCACTGTTTAGGATAAAACTTACTAACTTTTGGATTTTTTTTTGAAACAGTATCGAAAAATAATTCTTAAAAATGCAGTGTTTTCCAAGTAGACGGACTTTGGCATTTTCCTTTGCTTTTTAGCTAAAACAGTATATTTCAGGCGGCTGGGGTCCAGATTGCTGCAAATTTTGCACACACAAAGGAAAGGATTCATACAAAAGTACTTTTACGACCCTTCTATGATTCTATCCCATGTTGCTGTGCAGTGCAGCTGTTAATGTCCATATGTTTTTGGTCTGATATTTGTCTTTATTATGAAAGTTAACCTGCATTATTAGATCAGTAAATGTCATTAAGCTTATAGCGTAGGACTCATTGATTCAATCATCCAGATTCATTTGATGAACAAAATATGCCAAGAATTTTGGTGTGCACTGTGTGTTGTAAAATTGATTTATTATAATTTGAGCGCTACGAATTCCAATCATTGAAATAATCCTTTGCCTGTATACATTTGATCTTTGTGTACTGGGCCAACTTTTTTGAAAGAGAAAATGACAAAAGTTCCAAAAAAAAAAAAAAAGAGAGATGGACACTAGTTTCAAGTCTTTCACCCTAACATTGTACCAAACCCCATTTGCCTTGTGTTAATGTTATTTGAATCTAAAAATCTGACCTTGTTTATTAACTTAATTCACTATAATCATTGAATTGACCATGATCCCATCAAATATTAAAATTTACTCTGAATCTAATAGTTATAATGAAACCACATCACATCATCACTAGAACCGTGAGTTCTATTAAACATTAAAATTTATTATCTGTCCAATAATTTTATTAAAATTACATCATCATGTCATCACCATGACGTTTGGATTGACCTTGGGCCTATCAAACATTAGAACTTCCTCTTCATTGAATAATACCAATAAAATCACAAATTTTTAAATCTGAATAGCGTTACTCTTTGTCTTATATTACTTGTTGGACTTGATTATGCAGGATTGGGGACCTTTGGTGAACAAAATAACAATCACGAAATAGAAGACAACACATATATAGTTGATGGCATTGGACAATTTATACTAATAGGCTCCCCAAAATTCTCCATTAACAATGTATCCACTGCACTCTTCAATGGGCGATAGGTCCAACCGCATATTAGGTCTCTCTCCCCTCACGGTGGCCCTTATCGGCGTCGCCTCGGCCACTACGTTGCTGTTAATCTACCACTGTGTCGTGTCTCGCTGGTGTAACCCGCGAGCGCCAGTCCCTAGCCTGCGACATCAACAATTGGCCGTGTCCAACGCCGAGGGCACGCCGACAATTAGCATTGAGATCAGTTCCTTAACAGAGCTTATTCCTTCACACAAATATAACAAAGACATTGCCCTGGTCTCAAAAACAGCAGAAGATGGCACATGTGCTGTTTGCTTGTGTGAGTTTCAGGATGGCGAACCGGTTCGGGTATTGCCTGAATGCTTGCACCCGTTTCACGCCCCGTGCATCGACATGTGGCTTTTCTCCCACTCGAATTGTCCACTCTGCCGTGCCGCCACCACGCCATCACGACAGTCTCTCGGCCACCGCCTGGAATCGGAGGCCTTCCGGCTAGAGATCCATCAACCATGAGAAGCTATGTGACTAGGTCAGCCATTAGTTTTGTTAATGGGGGTGTGGTCAGCTTGGGTCCATTTTTCGTCTTCTTGTGTTTGTAATTATGTGAAGCAAGCCAGTCCTGGGCCTTAAAGTAAATATTACTAAAATTTGGGCAGGTGACTTTGAATCACAGTTTGTGTACTTTTGTTCCAACTTTCTAAAGAAAAGTTCTCATTTTTGCATAATATATGGCATGAATTTCGAGGAAATATTGGGCGTAACGGATACATTAGGCCATGATTATTACGTGGTGTTACCGTCTAATAAGAAAATAAAAAAACAAATAAAGTAGACTCCATTATCTTACATATATGGAGGTGATTACATACTAAATGAATGAATAATTACTTAATTTTGTGGGATTTATTTATTTATTCGTTCATTATTATTGAATGGTTACATCACGCAGTATTACCGGCATGATGTAAGAGTTAGATCCAATATTTTTTCCATGGAATTCCTAAGAATGGAGTGGTTTGGAAATAAGGGTTAGGAACTTCAGATTTCATATGATTTCCTTTTGTCGTATTGGCCTTGAAATGGATTAGGTGGGGGTGGTGCGTGTAAAATTAATCTTCCTAGTCGGCTGTTAAAAAAGATCACTGATTGGACTGATAAGATTTGGGTAGTCCACTACCCATTCCACAAGGGCAAAATGCCCAAACCCGCAGTGGCCCGAGTGATCCTAGGATGGGTGGGCCGTACTACTCACTTTGGGCTCATACTATGGGAGCCATGACAAAACGGCCGAGTGGTCGCGAACCACTGTGAGATTTGTGGGCCAAACTGTGTGCCACCACGAGCTGACCAAGCCCATGGACAATCCTAACAGAGCTAATTTTTATGTGTTTATTTGTTTGTTTGTTTGTTTTTATACTAAATTTTTTAAATTGTATATAAATTTAATTTTTGTAACTACGGTAACAATCTACACCGCAGGAGAAAGAAAACGATATCTCAACAAAGCGAGACTTAACCACATATTAAGCATAGGATAGGATGGGCCCCAATATTTGGGCCATCCATTTGTTCTCATTTCATGGTAACCTCTTTTTGAAGATTAGACATTATTATAGGGAGGGGAACAACGAGATTCGAAACTATAATCTTAAAGTTCTATTAATAAAATTGGTGACTATTGAGTCAACCGTTAATCTTTATTATGATAATGTTGAAGGACCAATTTGCTAAAATTCCCTTGTTATCTCCTATTCCCAACATTACATTCCCACAATAATAAATATATAAACTTGTATTCCCTCCAATTAATTGCCACAAGCCTTTTAGGACTAGGTCATGGTCAAATTTTGTGTGTGTATGATGCACATGATGACAGAATCAGGTGACGTTGATAATACATAGAAGCCTACTTTGTTTCCAACAAACTCAAGTTTGGCTTTATTATTAAAGAAGTTCCAAGATGCTTTCTATGTTCTTTTCTTCGGCCAAGTATTGAATGTCTAGGAGTGGGCTCAATTGGGTTTGGTTTCACCTTCCAAACTAAATCCTGTCCGATGAGACAGTATTAAAAAATATTTCACTTATATTTGATTTGTATATTAATTCGTGTTTAATAAATCGTGTCATATTAAATTCGTATTGTGTATAGACCACGTATATTTGATATATAAACAAATTATGACAAATAATTTTTCTGATTGATTTTATCTAAACTTTCTAATTTTATATCGTGTTCGTGTCTTATTATAATATTTTGACACACTTAGTCCAATATGTACCCCTCCCTTTCAAGTCCTATCACTTGGACTAACTAGTCGGTAATCATCTCTTGAACGGTTGGAATTTGTCTAAAACTCAACTCGTATCTGACTAGATTTGAGTTACATTATTTTATCCCTATAAATAGGGTTGAGTATTATATAATCAGTTATCAGATAACCAAATTTCAATGAATAATATATCAATATAGATTCTTGATCCATAGATGCAGATACGGTATACCAATGTGTGTATGCTGTATCAAACTACGTTATGACCAAATTTCAGTAAATAATACAACGATATAGATTTTTGATCCGTGGATATAAGTACGGTATATCAATGTGAGTATGTTGTATCCAATCACATTATATCTTTGTGTTATATTTTTGTTATTTTTGTTATCTTTGAATTCTTACTTTCCAATAAATATTATTTATGTTAATTACTCATTATACAAAATTAATAAGTGGTATCAGAGCCGTGCTCTAACATGAACTCACCATTGGGATTCAGTAGGCTCAGAGAAGATCAGATTAATGACTAATTTTTGACTTTTTTGAAATTTTTATCTGTGCTTCTGGCATTTATTTTTCTGAGCAATGAGGAGCTTGGTTCCTTTTTTGTTTTTTTTTCCCATGGATAGAAATATTGGGGTCAATTTACGTATATTTCGATTAATTTATTTTTTGGTCCGATCAAGGACAAGTTATCCGCGTCAAAATTAGGATACTTTTGAAAAATCCCTGAGGACCTGACCCCGAAGAATTACCAAGTTATTGTTAGTCTCATGTTAAAAAAAGAGTAATGTTACACTGATCAAATTTTTTTCAATACCACTTAAATCTCTCTCTAAGTGGCATTGTTGTCCATAATTTTTCTCAATCGCCAAAGAAATCTGACTTCTCGTATTCTTCCTTTCACCTTTAGCATAGGATCGTTGTTGGACCTCTATGAATGACCAAGAAAAAAATTTCCCATTAATAGGAATGATTATTCAAAAACTCCTATTTGCTGCTTAAAATTGAATAGTTTTTTGGTTTTTTACTGATAGACAATCGATAAAATATTTTTGCTTGTTAGCGATGGACTATAAACTTTTTATTCAGTTATCGCCTTTATTCCAAATGGGATTTGAATCTAGACATCTCTTATCCAGATTAATAAGATGTCTAACTCACGATGGTTTTATAAAACATTCAAAAACAATTCTTCTTACTATTTTACAAAACATCATGGACGGTATCACAAAAAAAAGAAAGTCTTTAGACGAAAATAATATTATATGAATAATTAAATAGAGATGTTAAAAGTCAACAGTTATTTTAAAAAATGAAAAAAAGTAGAATGAGTTGAGTCATAAGCACCAAGTCATTTGGTTAATTTACCAAGCGACAGAGCCATATGAATTACTGTATCCAGTGTAGCATTTGTTTTCTATTTGAGTTCATGTGTTTCATTGATAGATTTCATGTGCTTAATGTATTAAATCCAAAACATCATAATGGCCACAACTATGATATTGTTTTTTTTAGTTCAATGATCAAGGGTGTTCGAATCAAGTTACACACACTTTGATTAATTCTTTTTTCAGTCTTGTCAAATGCAGGTCATTCATTCTGGAATTAAGGTTATTGATAAAATATAAATTTCTCATGATCCAACTCCAAAGGGTTGTCAATGTTCAAGCTCAAAATGTCTACATTTAAAGTAAGTCCTTGTAATCACTTGAGCTATCTATTAAGGTTATAACTATGATATTGGACCGTTTAAGTAGGCAAGTAAATCTAATTTGAATCATACAAGAAGTTTTTTTTTTCTTCTCAATCTCATGCTAAAAGTTATTATTCGATTAGATAAAGTTAGAGGTTAACAATTTGTCTAATGGCCAGTGTCCCACTATTGGATCTTAAATCTATGGGTTCGAGTTTTGTCGACCACCTCCCTTACAATAGTGTCTGAACCAAAAAAAAAGAATAAGATATAGTTATGATGTGCACAAATCAAGTTACATCTCAAATTTTTGGACTTGATTGAATAACAATTTTGATCTTATAAAATTACAATTGATCTTTATTGGGTAATAAATTTTTTCGGTACAATATCAAAACCACTACAAAAGGGAAGGAAAAATGGCATCAAACAATAAACATATTATGTATTTTTTTCTATTAAAAGGGGTGCAACATGAGGACTTCTCAAAGGGTCACTAATCTTTGTATACTCTCGCCCAAACAAGCTTAGCTGCGAAGTTCTAAAATAAACATTTTATATTAGCTTTGTCTTTAACCATTGTATGACAATATTATAGGAAAGGCAAGGGGGTAATTATTTTTATTTTTGTTTTTGTTTTTGTCGCAACAAAGGAAAACACTTTTGATGATACATCCCTTTCTTTTTTATGAGATCCCATGTGAGCATCTCTTGAAGAATGGGACCTTTCAACCATAGAATAGACAAGGATTTGCCAAATTTTTAGTCACGCTTGGTTTATCGTATTTTTGGTCACATTGTTATTTTATGAGGGTTTAGACAATAGTAAGATTTGTTTATTGTGAATTAGGTTCCAAAAATTCAAGTCAAAACATAAGGTGCAATGAACTTTCGAAAAACTCGCACATTTTTGATTATTTTTTGGTTAATGGGGAAAGGACTAGGTTTGATTATTAGAGAACTATCGTCGGAAGATTGAGTAATTCAAATGGTAACAGACGAATTGTAAAAACAGACGTCGATTATATCTCATGAATATCTTAGTTGAGAGTTGATGGTCTGTTTTTAACTAGATTAAAGATGAAATTAGCCGAGATGCGTGTAAGTTGATCTGTACACTTTAGACATTTGAATCGAAAAATAATAATAAAAATGGAAGGTGCTATCACCACGATTTAGTGTGTAGTGTGCTTTCTAAACCCCATTTAGACATTTTTGGTTTCAAGCTCATTAACATTTAGGGGTGTAACTTGGGGGGCTAACTCGAATCCAATCAAAACTCAATTCGGACTAGACTCAAAAAATTTAGTACTTGGGCAAAAGTTTTTTTTATACTCGGATTGACATCTACAAATTTGTACGGCATTTGGTTATGCCCTGTTTCTTCGTGATAGAAACAGAGAAATACAGGTGGAGTTGTGGGAACGGGTCTGGTTGACATGTTATATATGTTTGCTCTAAATATGAATCTGAGTTCTCAATGCGTTAGATTACTAACCTAATCTTTAATTTTTATTGAAATTTCAGGTTGCATGATCTTTTTCTCTAATAGCTATTTCGGAAACCTGAGATTCGAATCTACTTTGGGCCTACATTTTGTAATTCGAGTTAAAATCGAGTTCAATGATCTGAATATTTGACAATACTCAAATTGAGTTACGGTTGGGGTTAGACTCGAGTTTGGAGAGTTTAACCTCTTAATTTGCAATTCGCTCGAAGTGCCCCCTAAAAAATTCCACCCTAAAGAAAATGAGAAACAATGTTTTAGGGAATTAATTTTGGGACATAGAGACTTAATTTAATGCAGTCACCGAATTAATTGTGAATTCTAATGTTAGATAAAACACATTTTTAATTAGAAATTAATTACATCATCAAATTAGATCCAAGCCACGTTTTTAAAAAATGAGTCAGTTATTTCACTTTTTTTTTTTTTTGGGGGGGACTATAGTAGAAAGGGTTAGATATTGGAGTATGAGCTATATAATCATACACCATGATTCAAGAATGTGATTTTCAGCAAAGTGAATTCTTTTTTGTTTTCACTTTGCTGGTTGTTTTTGGAATTGGGAAAATCAAATAAAGTTGTTATATATTGTAGCTTTTGGTAAAGGGAAGCCATGGACCTGGTGCTTCTCTGAAGTTCCAGTCAAAAATTTTATGCTCTCTGGTTCTTGGGTTCTCTTTATGTCCGGGGAAGACTGAGACTATTCAGCAGAAGTACCCAGTAAGATTTTCCTTCACTTTCTTTGGGGTTTTGTTGATGGTCCATTAAATTGCACCTGAGGACTGAGGTTTTGATGCAGCCTACATGTGTGAAGTAGGTTCTGCATGATTAATAACTTTGGGATTGAGATATCTCACTGGTTGTTGAGAATTTGTGGCAATTTTAGGGTAATATATCAGTTTTTTTTCTTCCTCTGATGTGATTTGATAGTCACAGATGAGATCTTTGAGTAATGTGGGACTTGGTTTGGGTATTGTTTTAGGGTGTCTTTTCTTAGCTCTTGTTGCAGAGCTTTACTACTTGTGGTGGTGGAAGAAGAGGATCACCAACAGAGAGATTGAAGATGATTACAGCAGTCCAGCAAGAGAGTTGCTCTATAGGTTTTGTTGGAAAAAGCCACCATCTTTAAGCTCTACAGCTCTTAACCCCCAAGAACTATCTTCATCTGCGAGAATTGTGGACACTCCTGTCCATGAACCACAAGCTGATCAGGTCCATTCTAACAAGGACTTGTGGGCCAATCCATTTGGAGAGGATACCTTGGACAGTGAGCTCATGAGACTTCATAACCTCCAAGGGCCACCAAGATTTCTCTTCACCATCAAAGAAGAAACAAAGGAAGATTTGGAGTCTGAAGATGGGAAATCTAGAGGTGATAGAAGTAGAAAAGGGTCAAGAAGTAAGAGCTTGAGTGACCTAATTCTGACAGTGGATACACCATATTTGACACCTCTTGCTTCACCACCATATTTCACTCCACCTCTAACCCCTATGAACTCCTCATATAACAAGCAAGGGTTCAATTCTCTCTTTGAATCACCAATTAAGGCTGAGTTTAGGAAGATAAAGTCTTCACCACCTCCAAAATTCAAGTTCCTGAGGGACGCTGAGAACAAACTTCAGAGACGAAGACTCTTGGAAGAAGCTGAAACAACTGACCATAATGGTGATGGGTCTGCTCAAGATGAGGGAAACGAGTCTTTTATCACCCTAATTGTGGGTAAGAACAAAGAGAAAGAGGTTAATCACCATCAGTTTTTAACTCAGTACCCTTCAAGCTCTTCACAGGTACTCCCTCTAGCTTCTTCCCCCTCAAATTTCAGAGCACCAACTAACATAAAACCCACCTAAACTCACAGCTCTATCAAATAAATTCCATCGTTTTACAATTCTTTTCCTTAATTTTCCTTTTTCATTGCATGGATTCCTAGATATTTTCATTTTTAGGGTATGGTAATTCCTCATTTTCACTTGGGAGATGTCTAGGAATGAAGCAATTTGCTTAAACCTTGTGAAATGTATCATGAATTTTTTTTAGAGGGGACAACATTTTCTTTTAAGACTGAGAGGGACGGTGAGAGGTGGTTTAATGCCAGTGAGGAGGGGGGGTGGGTTACTGTTTACTGGGTTATTTTGTTTTTATGCAATCTTCGTGTCTCCTTAGTTGGGCGATGTACATGTAATGATTGTAATCATTCCTGTGGATGGTCGTAGTACTAATGGCCTGTTCTTGATAAAAGGGCTCTGTGTATTTACTCAACTTTTGTCTATTCTCTTTCTCTATCGACCCTTTGGGGCATGTTTCGATAGTTTTGGGGTGAAGGGTTTGATCGATTTTATCAAATCTTTGCAAAGTCGATCTTTTCACTTTTGTATACACGAGATTTATATATAAATTCTATCCATATTTGTATTGAGCAATGCTACATGGACTTAAAAAGTAGACTTAAAAATTAGACTTGATAATCTCAACCATTGATTTCACTGTGGGTCCCATCATTTATTAGGATCCACTATCTATTCAATGGTTGAGATTATCAAGTCTAATTTTTAAGTCTAGTTTTTAAGTCCATCTAGCATTACTCATTTGTATTTAGTAAGTAACATATATTCATATAAAATTCATGAATTTATCGTAATTATCAATATACATTTATTTTGTAAATGACTATATTACTCGTTAGTCAATTCAATCCATACTCATATTTATTTAATTTTAGAGGAGTTACTTTGATGGATGGGGGTTGGAATATGATTTGGTTATTTGACGTAATTAATCCAGGTTAATATATAGGCTTGACAATTCTAGACACGACTCGCGAAACCGACACGAACCTGACACGAATTAACGAATTTGTGTATAGTCTTAACGGGTTCAAATGATTAATGAGTTAATTCAGTAGACCCGTAAAATAAATGAACCCGGTTCGTATTTCACCCATAAACTCGTTTCAACTCGTTTAATACGTTAACAATGGTACTATTAATTTTTTTTTAAAAAAATTAGGTGTTTCAGTCTCTGCCTCAGTTCACACCTCTCATCTCTTAGACTTATTCAAATATAGTAATCATTTAATGTTTATTTTTTGTTTTTATTTTTTTTGCTCAGCTAGAATTTATTGTTATAATAAACAGGTCAAACATGTGTAATGTGCAGCGACTTGATGATTTTTTGTGTAGACTCGAAATACTTTAACCTATTTTCTTATTTAGCGGGTGACGCACGGGTTATATCGGGTAACCCGTCTAATAAACGACTCGTGTATGAGTGTGATAATTGAACTCATTTATATAAACGAATGGAGTATGAATGACGGATTTTTTGACATAAATCAGTTCCACCCGATACAAAACCGTTCCACTCGACACAATTGTCAGGTCTATTAGTATATATGAAATTCTCTCCCTTAGGTTTGCCCAACCCCTTGTATGTGGATTTAATACACAAAACAACTTACGGACCGGTATATGATTCTTGAATTTAAAAGTGTGAACCAAACACAGAATTGCGTGATTTATCAAACTATTTTTCTTAAACCCCGCTTTCCAAATTTCCTCAATCCGATAAATAAATAGGCCTTTAAAGAACATCATGAAAGATATGATAAAAAAAAAAAAAAAAGAACACCAAGAAGATACTTAAAATTTTCAATCTGTACATAAGTTTTACCCTTATAGTCATAAAAAAAAAAAAAGTTGTAATGTGATCCAGACGCAAACTGTTGTCCATTTTTTTTTTATAATAAGTGACGCAAACATGACAATATACAACCCTTTATGTGACAATATAGTCGTCCCTCAAAACATTTTTTTCTTTATTAAGGTGGAAGTTAGCAAAGTGACGAAGTTGCAAGAAAGGGGTTTAGAGTTTGTGGTGAGGCTGAAGCTTTCTTTGGTTAGTTTTTTTTTTCCCAAGTTACAAAACTGTAATGCCCGTGACAATGTGCCGCGGGAATATGCCGAAAGCTACCCTCCAACCTAAAGAATCTTCTCAGGAATAACCTTTTTGGAGTTATTTCAAAAATTCAATGATGGGAATCGATGGTTGAAAAATTTACAAAAGTTGAAAATTTAGAAGAACTAATATCATAAAAAAGACGGTATGGTGATTCATTTTGCGACACTAAGTAGTGACCCAATTCATTGAATTAATTGTGTCACGTCGATTTGACTTATTTTTTTTATGTCGTGCTTTCGTTTTGATCTATATAACTTATGAATAAAGAATTCAATAGTAAGATTTAAGTTTAATATTCTATTATCGCTTAATTGAATTCATGCTCATAATTGTTTTATAAACTAACAATTAACTTAATAAAAATAACAATAAAAATGACTAAAAATATCTTTTTTGTGCAAAAATTATGTCAATATTTGATAAACAATAACAAATAATTGACATTTTATTTTTATAATACTAGTTAAACATGTTAATCGTATCAATTTCTTATTGTTTGTGTTTGAAACTAACCCAAATCATATATTATTTGTGTTCATGGGTCGTGTGTTGTTTACAGGTTTTTATTGAGAAATGATCAACTCTAAATTACTATTTTCGTATTAATTTCGAATCATATTTTTCGTGCTATGTCATAAATTGCTACCTCTATATGCTGGTGGTCCAAGCCAAAGAGGCCATTACCCATTTTTTTTTTTTTAAATCCTTGAAAAATAGGAAATAACTGAAATATAAATTTAGCAAAACAGGCCCATTAGAAATGACCAATGCAGGCCACCTTTTCTGGACATGTAGGCCTGGCCTGTTGACTAGATGGGTCGGCCCCCCAGCACAATAAAGCCCTTTATGTGAAAATTGCATCTTTAATAAGAATAAAGTTAGCGATTAGCTTAATGACAGTCGAGCTAAGAATAAATGTATTCAATCGTTGGGCGTTTGATTAACGAGAATTTTTATTTTTATAAAAGACATTTTCTTTTCAATGTCAACATCAAAGTGTTACCTAAACATTATTCATGTTTTTTTTTCTTGTTATTGTATTTCTCCTTTGTAGTTTTTATTTTATTTTTGTTTTTCCTTCTTTGAAATTGTGTCACGGGAAAATATTCATTTGAACAGTTTACAATTATACCATGTCAGTATTGTTATGTAACGTAATCGTTTAATGATAACTCAACAAGTGAATAGAGTACACCCTGTTCTTTCAAATAACTACCCCCATGTAAGATTGTAACCACCATGTAAAAAAAAGGTTCACGTTACTCACTTATTTGTTCATCATTTGACGGTACACCGTTTGTTTCAAGACTTTTGAGCCCATTAAATTCTTATGTTATGCTGAACCTTCAGGTTTACATGTTGAAGGCTTTTAATAACCGGGGGCCTGCACCTCTAGAAAGTTTGTCGGGTCAGAACCGACCTATGCCTATTATTGTCCGGCCCGACTAATTATCGATACGTTTATGTTTCTATAATCACTAATTTTATGATTATTTTGCCAACTTAACTATGGATGCGAATATATATATGTTTAGCGGTATAGTGTAATATGAATGATTTTAATTAGGATATTGGTGACTGTTATCTATATAATAAAATAGTTTTTTTTGAACAAATCTATATAATAAAGTAACTTACAATTCAAATCTCAAAAGATAAACAAAATAATTTTTGTTATTCGCGATTGAAATCGTTTTAAATTTTACTTTAAAATTAATCTAATGACTAATATTAACATCTTAAATTTAATAGGAAAAATAGGTCTTAAGGAATGTGTTTGGAGTGATTTTTTAAAAGTACATTTATAAATTATTTCTCATAAATATATTTAAAAAAATAGTGTTTGAAACTGCGCCATCACCACCATCACCGCCACTGCCCCCCCACCACCACATCACCTCCACCAATGCCACCACCCCCAACGTCGTCACCGACACCACCACCGTCGTTGTTGTCGCCGCCACCACCATCGGGCACCACTACCACCGTCGTCGTTGTCGTCGTTGCCGCCGCTGTCGCCGCCACCTTTGTTGCCACCACCGGCACCATTACCACCATCGTCGCCGCCGCCACCACCCCCACCGCTGCTGCCCTCGCCGCCACCACAGTCTTTGCCACCCATCACAATCATCATCGTCTCCTACCACCACCATTGTCGTTCATCACCTCTCATCCCCACTATAAACTGATGCTTAAATTCTTTTAATTTTTCTTTATATTTGTGATTTGATTTTGAATATGAATATAAATATATTTATTGTTTATCATTTTTTATTACTTTGTACTTTTAGGCACAGACAATAATTAGTATATAATAAAATAATTTATAATTCAAATTTTAAAAAATAAATAAAATGACTTTTACTATTCGCAGTTCAGATCACTTTAAATTTTAATTTAAAGTTATTCTAATGACTAATATTAACACCCTAAATTTAATAACAAAATAGGTCTTTAAGGGTGTGTTTTGAGTGACTTTTAAAAATAATTTTTAGAAATTATTTCTCACAAATACTTTAAAACAAATAGTGTTTGAAATCACCTCACCACTACCTCTACCACCACCGCCACCGCCACCGCCACCACCACTGTCGTTGCCACCACCACCACCACCACCGTTGTCACCATCACTCCCACCACCCTTGCCACCACCACTGTTGTCGCCACTGCCACCACCACTGTCGTCGCTACCACCACCATCGCCACCGCCACCACCATCACTGATGTTGCCAACGTTGCCACCACCACTGCTGCCACCACCATCGTCGCTGCCACTACCACCACCACCACTACCACCACCATCGCCCTCGCCCTCGCTGCCACCACGATTATTGTCACTCATCACAACCTTCACCGTCTCGTACCACTACTATTGTCGCCCACCACCTCTCACCCCTACTACAAAATCGATACATAAATTCTTTTTATCTATTCTCTATGTTTGTGATTTAATTTTGGATATTAATACAAATATGTTTATTGTTTATCATTTTTTATTACTCTGTACTTTCAGGCACATGCAATAACT